GAGCACGAAATGAAGGGGGGGTCGCATCTCACCATTCAACTAAGCATGCATGTGCTCGGTTGAATGCTCGGTAGCGTGCGAGTTTACCCCTATCAGGATGTTTGTTTGCATATCCCTCCAAGCGAGAGGGCTTGCACCTATGCTGATGTTCGTTCCAAGAAGTGAACTGAGGACTGATGCTACGGTGAAAGATTTGGACGTAAATTCGCCCGTGCAATAAAACGCCCTGTATCTCGCTTACGCTAATCTCACATTCCAATATGCCACTGCACTTTCCTCTCCAGCCTGGCCACATTCTCTTCCTCGCAAACGTACTTGGGCACCTTACAAATCCAACACCATACGTGCTTTGGAAACGCGGGCAGCTGCTTCACAAGGACCCCCCTATTTCGCGTGATATGGGTGAGCTTGGTCGAAGGGAGTAAATGCCCAGTTTCCATTTTATTGTACGGCTCTTGGTACGGTGCATGCATGGCATGCATTGGGCAAGGATTACTCGAGGCATTATCTTTATCACGATGGGCAACTGTATCTAAGTGAATCTTTCCCTCATATGTTAATTGGTGTACTCTCCACATGCTGTGCGATAGTGGACGGTGGCTTGACGATAGCATAGCTTGCATTTGCTTTACTGGACGCCAGCAGTAATACCGGTGTGCTGCATGGCAGCAGCATCCTTAGAGGATGTCTACCTTTTGCGCCCGCTGAACGATGCTCCACCGACAGCCGAAGACAAGAGGCATAGCAAAGAGCTAGAAGAGGTGTGGTCGTTTATGTCCGCAGGGTAAGATATCAGCTTATAAGCCGTTATCCCGGCTGGCGCAGTTTCTGAGAGCGAGTGGCCTTTATGAGTCCTTGGATGAGGCCATACTTCGGGAGGAGGTTCTGGGCCTCTTCTACCAGCTGGTCCAAATATGGGTAAAGGGAGTATGCCGCAGAAGGAACTTGAACGTGGAGGATGCGCGTGCACACGTCTATACGTTTGGTTCCTACCGTTTGGGGGTCCATGGGCCAGGTGAATAGTTTTGCATCGCAGGGTCTTGCAAAGGATTCTTGCAAACGCTGAGCGGAATAATTTGGATGGCGCAGGCTCTGATATGGACACACTCGTTGTGGGCCCTCGTTATGTGCTGCGCGAAATGGATTTTTTCGGGAACGAGAAGCATTGCTTGCAGTACTTGCTATCAGTGAGTTTACAGGGTCCGGTATGGTGTCGCCTGCTGTCGCCAGGTTTCATTGTTATTCTGGCTGATCGAAACCTTTACCCCTCATCTTGCAGCAAACACCGGACATCACAGACATCCAACCTGTGCCGGACGCATTTGTGCCTATGATTGGCATCAAGGTACTTGGTTAGCTTTTCCAGACGGCTATGAAGCGGTGGTGGCTGGTGGGCCGGGGGAGTACAGAACACCTTGGGACCCACGCCGAACCGGCCTTTGCATCTGTCATAGCCTTCACTTCGTGCTCTTTATGCTGAATCCCCGCTATGCAGCCACCCCACGTGCGGGAGTATTTTTTCTCTCTAGTCCTTCACGACAGCCGAAGCCGCCGAACATATTTTACGCACAGTCCCAGGATGCGCCATCTTAACCCCGAACATCTACTTGTCCCATGCAGTACAAGGGCGTCCAGATCGACGTTCTGTACGCATCGCTTGCTATGGTCACGCTACCAGAGCAGCTTGACCTCTCCAATCACGCCGTACTGCGCGGCTGTGACGAGGCCACGGTGCGCTCGCTTAACGGCTGCCGCGTAACGGACACAATCCTGAGACTGGTGCCCAATCAGGACGTCTTCCGGTTAGCACTGCGCGCTGTTAAACACTGGGCGTCGCTGCGGGGCATCTCTTCCAACGTCACCGGATATCTTGGCGGCGTAAACCTGGCCATCATGGTCGCTAAAATATGTCAGCTATACCCACGGGCAGAAGCCAGCACGGTGCTGCTCAAGTTCTTCATCTTACTAAAGGCCTGGCCCTGGCCGCGTGCCATCCACCTGCGGGTGCCGGAGGACCACAGCATGGGCCTGCCCGTGTGGGACCCGCGCCCTGGCACACGCGACAGCTTGGCGCTGATGCCGGTGATCACGCCTGCCTATCCTGCGATGAACTCCTTGTATAATGTGCAGCGCAGCACGCTGGAAGTAATGACGGCGGAGTTCGCGGCTGCGGCGGAGGTGTGCACGTCGTTCCTGCGCTGCCGCGGCGGGCAGCCGCTTGACTGGGATCGCCTATTCATGCCGGTGCCGTTTTTCACTCAGCACACGTTCTATATCCAGGTAGAGGGTACTCAGAAATCTGGGTTCGGGCAGGGTGTGCAGGTGCTAATCGCCAGCATGCGCATGTGTGGCAGGCCCATTCTAACCTGTCACGCACCGGTTGCTGCATTCATGCTTGCATGCTCAGATTGAGGTTTCAGCGGATAGCGAGCAGGATCTGGTGTTGTGGGACGGCTGGGTCAGCAGTCGAATCAGGCGGCTTGTGCGCAATCTGGAGGACCACGTTAGAGTCAGGTGGGTGTCATAACAGGCCTTTTCCTGAATCCTAATTACGCGGCCGGAAGCTTTTTGCGACGCTTGTCTGTTGACTGGATGGAAAACGTTATACTGAGCTTCCCGAATCCTGATTACACCTTGGCCGACGAGAAATGTGGCTGCGAGCGGGATACGGCATGTAAAGCATCCAGCACGCTCGCGTGTTCTCTCGGCGGCGCTGGCATGCAGGCAAAGGCGTCCTACTTTATGGCATCAGCCTTTGAAAATGGAGGGTCTTGTTATCAGACTTCTCGGTCCCTCAGATAAAAAATTGTCAAGGAGTCCACTTGTAAGGTGCGATGCATTTTTCCTAAGCGCTTGCGGGATATACATCATCCTTCGGCCCGCCCTGCCGCAGGCCCTTTCCGAAAGCTCAGCGACCGCCACCACCGGCAGCAAAGGACACGGACGGCGACATGCGGCCGCGCCTGATGTACTACATCGGCGTCGACAAGCGGGTCGCCCCCACGGTGACCGCGCAGCAGCTGTTGCCGAATGGTCAGCTAGCGCAGATGCCGCAGCCGGCGTCAGGACCTTTGGGCGCCCCAGCCGGCAAGGTGGACCTGAAGCAGCCCTGCATGATTTTTGTGAATGAGGTGCGGCCTTCCATACAAGGGAGCGAGCAGAGGTGCGGTATGCCCGTCAGGATGCCGGTGAATCCTTGTTAAGAATTTTTCCTCATGCACCCATTGGCCATGGCTAAAATGTTAAGGTGTTTATCGGACGTCCTTGCGCTACAATGCTGCAACGCGAGGTGGTCAGGAGAACTCAAAAGTTGGCCGCAGAGGTCCATGGGTTCGTGCTCGTGGTCAGGCAACGCTCTTATGCTCGGGGCTGCAGGTGACGGCATGGACTGCCAAGCGCCCAGGCATGGAGTTACGCGTCAATGTGCTTCGGAGAGTCCACCTGCCGCCGTGGCTTCTGAAGGACACTGCATCGCAACAGGATCAAGCCGCCGCGGCCCTGCCTCCACCTGCCGAAGGCGCGGCGTTACAGCAGGAGCACCGTCCACCAGATAAAAAGGTGGGGATAATAGGCATGATGATTGATAATCAGAATACCATAATCACGGGTATTGCCGCGCAATTGCAGACACGGCATGAGGATTGGAGCTGTAAGGAGTGCGCCCTAGAGAAGCATCACTCACCGCTGACTATGCTGATATCGGCAGCGCGATGCTCGTGGCATTTGCAGACGATTTGCAGACGCCAAGCTGTTAGCTGTATGCAATCACGCTCAATGTGTTCACATGAGATCATGATGTGTGGTGCTTGTTTATTTTTTGTGACCTAGCGACCAGGGGATGTGCGGTAGGCCAGCCAAAGGACGGATGTATGGTCTTGTTGAAGACCGGCCAAGCTTAGATGACAATTGTGCCAGGAACCAACTGATTGCCCAACAGCTGCTGTGTGCAGCACTCTGCCCTGTCGGCTTATTACTCGCACTTGAAACACACCCTGGAACCTTACATCCTCGACCCAGGACATCGAAACAATGAACGAGACGGGAGCGTCAGCGCTGCCAGTATTGGGAGCAAAGCGGTTGGCATCTGGCGTAGCTGCCGAACCATCACAGGGAGCTGAGGGGCTCCAGATTCCGCCCGCGAAGCGAACGAGAACGCAGCAGGTGGGTCGTCGAGAAGGGCTGGGCAGGACCGGGGCCCCAGGTTCCACACAGGTGTACCAACAGTTTCTGAATTGGAGGTTCTCTTGCGGGTTGTCATAATGCCCCTCAGGAGATACGGTTATCACTGGGTGTCAGGGAACTACTTCGGTGCGGAATGCACCATGGAACGGGGTGCGAGGCCGGTGTCAGGGAAGGAATTTAGCTGGTTCAGGTTACTCATTGATTGCGCCAGCAGCTCGAGCATGTCCATAGCAGCGCGCGGGTGTCGACGACCTAAATTTGCTGCTGTCCCTAGATGGTCGCGGAACAGGCGTGAGACACCGCGCCGCTTTTCGTGGACCAGCTGCGCTTGAGCTATAATTACGAGCGGCTGCCCGCGACTGTTCTTCACGGGCAGAGGCAGGGCTCCGTGGAGGCAGTACGGGGCGCCGTAGCATAGCAATCCGAGCTGCCCATGACTGCATTGGTGTGGTGGTTTGCCAAATGAAAAGTTAGCGATTTGAGATAACGGCTTGATGGCACGTCACCCTAGCACGGTAGCAGATAGAGACAAACCATGAACTGCCTGACCTTGCACGATGTCTTCACGTTGCTATTGCTTGTTTTGACTCCTTCCCATGAGTATGAGAATGACTCCAACTCTCCCTTGCCTGTCCTGTGTGTTTTGTGCGTCCCTTGTGCGGTACGATTGTGCTTCCATTGCTATCGACGCGGCGTTGTTTGCGTGTGTCTGGAATGCTGCCTTTGGAATGAATGAATGGTGCCGCCGGGTCCGCTGGTCTGTGCGCGTGCTTTTTGCGGGGTTGTTTTAATTATCTTCCGCTGCTTTCGCTTTTGCAACCCGTGGCGCGATGTCACCACTGACGGACACTCGTTTTGGGTCGTGTGGCTGTGGATCATTAATTGATTCGCAACGCAATTGTTCGGCCACGCCGTCTCATGCCCGCGCTGGGCTTATGGTCACCTGCCTTTGCCCTTGGCGTTCTTTTCTCGTAATTGATATCTTCCTTTGATAATTCTTTGCGCGCGTCGTTCTTCGTCTGTGTATGTTTCGTCCACATGGGTTTTGCTGCGTTATCTGCACGTCTTGTCGGTGTATGATATCGGTCTGTGCGCACGGATGCGATCGCCATTACTTCGGATGCTTACCATTCCTGTCGGGGAAACCGTGCTTTTGTGCTGTCGAATGCTTTTCGACGCTTTATTGCCTTGGCGCTGCGGCATGTACGATATATCGGGGCCTCCGGGTCACATGCTTGTGCATGCTCTGCACCATGTGGTGCCGTGCGTGATTGTCCCGTCGTGAGGGCGCTGTCCGTGTTTGTGCAACGTCCCTGATGGGAACTGACTGCGAACGCCCTGGGCTTCGTTGCGGTTTGTCTTTACTGCCGCTGCGCTTGTCGTTGGTTATATGTGCGTGTGGGTATACATATGTTCGTGCGCGGGCGCATGCGTGCGTGCTTGTTTGTTTGTACGTTTTTGCGTTATGTGTGCGTGCATCGGTGTGTGTTTGTGTGTTGGGTTTCGCATTGATGTCTATGCGCGCGTCTCGGCCTGCTTTTGCGCCCATGCGGCGCATGTCTTGCCGTTTCCTCTGTCTGCTATTTGCAGGGCGGATCGAAGACTGGCGGTGGCGCCGCGGATAGCGGCCTAGCAGCGCCCTCCCGGTCGCAGTCTCCCCAGACACCTCTTGACACCACAGCCATGGACGGCGCTGCACCACTGGCCACCGACAGTGGCCCCGTCCCACCCGCGTCGCTACAGGCACAGTCATTGCAGGAGCCCTTGTCGCAAGAGGCCAAGTTGACGCTCGAGCAGCAGGCCTCGTTTGCAGACGAGCGTGCCGCGGTGCAAGAGTCACAGCTTCATAATACGGGACGAGACATGGGCGACTGGCTGGGGGTGGACCATGGAGTGAGCCTAGCGGCGCCGGTGAGCACCGTGCATGGAGGGTCTTCCCATGGGCCATCCTTAGCGAGCACTGTCTATGCATATGGTGCCGCCTTGCAGTGCAAATAATATGGTGTTGTTTACTCAGTCCCATTTGCAACCCTGAGCAAATTGTTGTCGCGTGTTTGTAGACCTGTGGGGCAGGGAGGGTGACACTTGCAAGTGGCGCACCCAAGGATCATGTGCCAGGACGAGGGTTCTGCCGAGGCCACGGTACACGGGCAGTGGGCTTGTACAAACTGCGAGTTTTCTTGACGTGCAGGGGGCATCGCGGAGCCCGTCGGAATGAAAGCAAAGCAACGACAAGGACACAGGCAGCAGCTACGCAGGTAAGACGCTCCTTGTTGCAAGGGGACCTGCCTGCATCCCTTACTGCCAATTGTTTCTCCTGCATGCACCTAATTCGTTTGTGGTACAGTCCACCACAGTGTTAAACGGTGCAGTCTATTCCCCTGCAGATTTTAGAGTGGACGAGTGCAGCAAGGGCTTGTTTTTTCCGACTCCATTCCGCGGATTCCTTGCCTCTGGAAAACGTAATTTAATTGTCCACTTTTTACTTTACTATGCACTGGCGCTGCAGCCGTTGCCCCGTCGCCTCCCCTGCCATCATTCTTTTCGGTTGGTGTTGCATGTTTGCAGGTGAGGGCGCAAAAATGGAAGATTGCGGCTCGGACGTGTCGTGGATATGAACTGGTTAGGCAGGGTTGCAGGGTGGGCGCCGATTGCGGTTCCATCACGCATCAAGCACTCGACCCGGATGCCCTTGCAGTGGCGCAGGTGACAGCCTTGCGTGTGGGTTCACGACAGCTACGACACCGACAGGTACGGAGAACCATCAGACGCTGGTCCCTTAAATGAGGGGGAACTCTGCCGGTCTCGGGTTGGGATGATGTCTGGATGAGCAAACCTCCTCCGGGATTTTTCCCCATTCGTGAACAGCGTTGACTTTGGATAGCTGTGGCGTACTCGCGAGTTCTCGACAGCTGTGCCTTCGGATGTGCTTGGGTAGGTTGCGGTGTCAGGTGTGTGTGCAGGGATGATGACGAGAGCCATGAGCTACATCCCTTTTGCGGTCTGCCTATCTTTGGGCGTCCATTGGCAGATGTAGGCTTAGGCCGGCAGCGTGCAGCGATGTCCAACGTCCTTCCAAGCCTGTAAGACATGGTTCTTCGATTGGTGTCGCTTTGATCCCCTGGGCCTATGCTCGCATCCATAATGTCAATATTAATGAGTGCTTACCTCATGCGGTTGCAACACAGCAGTGACCAAGCCAATGGAGGCCACTAGCAGTATAGGTTCATAATGAGCTTGAGGGGTTTGGGCTTTTCAGCTTTTCGGTCCTACTTGAAACCAGGAAAGACACCGCCTTTTAACAACAGAGCCGCTACGTGGTATTGGTCCTGCTGAGCACGAAAT